CATCCAACCTGACAGAGCTTGAGAGGATCTGCAGAGAAGAATAGGAGAAACCCAAGAAGATGCGAGGCTGTAATCGCTGCCAAAGGTGCTTCAACAACGTACTGAGTAAAGGGTCTGAATATTTATGTAAATCATATTTCCGTTTTTTATTTTTAATACATTTGCAAAAAAATCTTCAAACCTATTTTTGCTTTGTCATTATGGGGTATTGTGTGTAGATTGATGGGGGGGGGGGGGGACAATTTAATCCCTTTTAGAATAAGGCTTTAACATAACAAAATATGGAAAAAGTCTGAATACTTTCCGAATGCACTGTGTATGAACCTTTTCAATCCTGAAGTACTAGGTTTGTCCATCGGGTGCCAGTAAAACACCTTGAATAATAAGCAGTATAAGCGGTCCACATAACTTGTTTGCAACCCTCAGAGATTGGTCAAAGTAAGATAATAACTTATGATATTCCAAAAACCATATTCCTTTAGAAAAATTGTTATGATTCTAGCTCACAATAGCTGATAATGGTACTATTCGTTAAAGATTAAAGTATGACGTTTTGGTCCCCATGGCTTTCATCAGAAAATAAATTGTATTCTTGTAATAAAATTCTAATACCATTTCAGACCATTTCACCTTGACCAGAGCCTTGTATTTACTTTGAACAGCAAGATATGTCCTAGCAAGTGCACTTTGGGAAGCATAGCCAGTTTGTATTGTGCTTGTTGCCATTGTGCACGTTGTCTTTCTAGACTAGAATGTGTTTCTTAGACAAGCCAAATGCCATTGACCCTCAGTATTACTACCATACTTGAACTCAAGCATCCAATCACAGTCAAAGTAGAATGGAATATAAAGCAAAACCAATATGTTATCATCTTTCAGGCACAAAGAAATGAAATATTTTAATACCCCTCATTATTTACTTTTACATTTTAGTCATTTAGCAGACGCTCTTATCCAGAGCGACTTAGTGAGTGCATACATTTTTCACTGGCCCCCCCTGGAACCCACAACCCTGGCGTTGCAAGCGCCATGCTCTACCAACTGAGCTACAGGAGCTAAAGGAGAAAAGAGAGAGAATAAGGACAACTGTGGTATAATTCCCAGCAGTTATAGTCCACCTGTGGCTCAGAATGGGCTGCTGGTAGCGTTCTTGCCTGTTCAGAACACAATTACATAAATAGTCAAGCTTTGGCACGATTCTCTGCGCTGTTCCTTTACCACTTTACCATCAGCACAGTTGGTGTGGGGGAGAGGTGATTCTCACGTCCAGTGTTGAGTAGAATAAGCAGTGGAATCCCAGATGAATCGGTCACGAAATCACAGGCATGTAAACAGTTTAATCTGTCTTCTCTCAGAGAAGCTTCAGTAACACTACAATGCTCTACCATAGTTGGTACTGTACTGTATAGTGAGATAAATTGTGGGGTATGACAAGGTTTTATAGGCCTACATGTAATAAATGGGCATGAAGCAAAATGTTATGGTACAAAGCTAGCCTAATGTTTACATACATTATCATTGCTATTCCTCCCTCATTTACATACAAATCATGTAGCCCATAAGAGCTTCACCAGAAAGAAAGCTAAATAAATAAAAAACTATCAGGGGCTGCAGTTGCTACATCCATTTTTAGACTTTTAAATTAATTATATACACTTTGTGTACAAAACATCTTTCCATGACATAGACTGACCAGGTGAATCCAGGTGAACGTTATGATCCCTTATTGATATCACTTGTTAAATCCACTTCAATCAGTGTAGATGAGGGGGAGGAGACAGGTTAAAGAAGTATTTTTAAGCCTTGAGACAATTGAGACATGCATTGTTTATGTTTGCCATTCATATGGTGAATGGGCAAGACAAAGATTTATGTGCCTTTGAACAGGGTATGCTAGTAGGGGCCAGTCGCACCGGGTTGAGTGTGTCAATAACTGCAACGCTGCTGGGTTTTTAACGCTCAACAGTTTCCCGTGTGTATCAAGAATGGTCCACCACCCATTTCGACACCTTGTAGTCCATGCCCGACTAATTGAGGCTGTTCTGAGGGTAAAAGGGGGTGAAACTCAATATTAGAAAGGAGTTCCTATGTTTTGTACACTCAGTGTATACCAATTGATTCTTCAAGAATATAATTTATAAATGTTCTCATGATCTTAGTTCAACTGTTGTACCCCACCAGAGCCCAAAATATAACATTTACATAACCTTGTTTTACTCCTTTGTTTGTAACCACTGTAAATGTAAACAAACACTGTGTAGCCTTAAAACTATTGGTTAAAACTAGAATTTGTATATAATGGATGGTCAGTTCTTGTATCCATTGCTCTGTTCATGAGTTTGAGAGTGGTTACATTTCTCCAGCCGCATCCCTCGGCTGTTTACTAAATCAGTGGCGGGGCGTCAGCTTTGTTATTGTTCGAACTGCAGATTGCCCCTTTAATATCTCAGCGCTATTCTGATTATTTAATCCTGATGTGGGAAACTTTAGATTTTCCTCATACCATCTCAACCCCATTATCTCTCCCTGTCCACTCGTACCACATTATTTATTTGTAAAGTCCCTATGGGTAGAGTCTATTCAACCCCATGTCTCCCTAACTTCACTCTGAATTAACCCAAATGAAATGCCCTGCTTTCCTTAAGATTACTGTCAAGCATTCACACATTAATGTGTTTTTTACTCTATGGGGCTGAGAACTTCAAATGGACAGAGCTATAAACAAGAGACATATCCTGTAGCATGAAGTATTACATCAATACGCATATTCATATTTTACATTTTAGTCATTTTAGCAGACACTCTTATCCAGAGCGACTTACAGTTAGTGAGTGCATACATTTTCATACTGGCCCCCCGTGGGAAACGAACACACAACCTTGGCGTTGCAAGCGCCATGCTCTACCAACTGAGCTACAGGGGACTGCAGCTTTGTGTAAGAGGCATGGGAAGCTTCATTTAGACTTCTGTTCTTCTGTTCTGTATTTAAATGGCTGACATCCATGTAAACAACACTTCCTTCAAGTCTTTGTGACAAAGTTATTTTCTTTATCACGCTGAGTGCCTTTTTTAATTGTTCCCGATGGTGAAGAGCCCAGTGCCTGATGATTGTGTTGACCATAAGAAGACCCATTTACCTATCCTGCCAATCAGTGGGAGGCCTGAGAAATGTTTGGGTTATGTCGTCATGAAACAAAATATAAATTACCACACGATCACTTCCATCATCCCAACAAAATAAAAGCATTAAGACCTATGTTCAGACCTAGTCACAGTGGAATGTTCTATTTTCTAACACATTAAAATTGTGATTCATCTTGATCTAGCTCTCTCTCTCTCAGTGTATACCTATTGAGAAAGAAATGCAGCTCACTCTGGACTCTTTATTGTGGTCCCCTCCATTATGTTTATTAAAAATGGTCCCCTTACAAGATGGATTAATGGAAGTGATTGTAAGGTTCTGTATTTATTTTCTTAGTTCACCTTGTGTTCTTACATAGCCCTGTTTCTTTGTGTTCTTGAACATAGCCCTGTCTTTCATTTTTGTTCATTGATTTATATTTTAGTCATTTAGCAGACGCTCTTATCCAGAGCGACTTACAGTTAGTGAGTGCATACATCATTTTTTATTTTATATACTGGCCCCCCGTGGGAATCGAACCCACAACCCTGGCGTTGCAAACGCCATGCTTTACCAACTGAGCTACATCCCTGCCGGCCATTCCCTCCCCTACCCTGGACGACGCTGGGCCAATTGTGCGCCACCCCATGGGTCTCCCGGTTGCGACCGGCTACGATAGAGCCTGGATTCGAACCAGGATCTCTAGTGGCACAGCTAGCACTGCGATTTCACCTGTGTTAGTTACTCACCTGGTCTCATCAGCTCCTTATTTAGTTCAGTTCATTCTGTTTGTGCCTTGTGAGGTATTGTTCGTTTTGACTCTACTAAGCCTTTTCCTAGCTCGTTTATGAGAACCAGTTATAGCCTTCAGTCCTAGTTTTGATTCACCTGCCTGTTTGCCTACCTGTGTATGACCACGATTCCTGCCTTCTGCGAAGCTAAATAAACACCTGCCGCGCTCTGCGCGTGAATCTACACCTTTTTCTCCTTGAGTATTCATTACAGTGATACATCTATTTCAATAAAGGGCATTGAGCTGTAGGGCATTGAGCAATTGCAGACATTCTGATCATTCAGATGAATGCTTTTTGTTATCGCCATTTGTGAATGTCACATCCACAGAAAAGTGTCTCAAATGATAAAGTATACTATTATGGTTATAATAAAACATTGAATATGTACAATGATATCACAAAAAGGGGATTCAAATGTTTGTATTGTGGGCTAGTCACATCACCATTCAAATTATTTTCACCATTCTTCCCAAAGGTTATCAACCAACAATACAGTGTTAAATTGATTAAATTGTTTACTCAATTACTAAACAAAATCACTTTTCACGATGGCATAAAGAAACTGGTGACAGGTCATTTCCCTCAAATCGTCAAATCTCAGAGGGCGCATTGCGTAATGGATGATGGTGAAGAGAAAAGGACCAAAAACCAGCATCCCTCCTCTTATCCCTTTCAGTCAGGCCCACCCTCCTTTTTTAGTGACACCACTGCGACTTCGATGCGCGCACTCTCTGGCTCCCAGTTCCACTTGCTTTAATTTAGGATGAAAGAAGCACTGGACACAACAGCGGTGTGCTCTCACTTTTACGCACGATATGACAAGGAATACTCAATGCTTATTTTGCAAGTGTGAGACAGAAAGTGGAAAAATGTTTTGGAATTAAAGCAAAATAGGCTACCTTTTGGCATGGATGTATTTTTCAACTATTAGGTTGACACGCTTGCTTTCCATAATATTCTATAGTAGCCTACTACCGCGTAATAGCCTGCTGATTAGGTTATAGGACTACATGTAGTGGGTAGGATACTTTATACATGAATTGTTTTCTCTCTACTCGACATATTCAGAGAACTCAGGTGTGAAGATGGAAAATGTTACTGAAGCTCAAGAGAACCGGACTTGGACTGACCAAATAATCGAATACAAAGTGGTGAGCACTTTGTTAGTTTTCGTGATATGCGCCTTGGGGATCGTTGGTAATGTTATGGTGATCTTAGTGGTGCTTACTACTAAACACATGAGGACACCCACCAACTGCTACCTGGTGAGCTTGGCCGTTGCAGATCTCATCGTATTAACTGCGGCGGGTTTACCGAATATCACGGACAGCATCTTCGGGTCTTGGGTGTTCGGCCACTCAGGATGTCTCGGCATCACCTACCTCCAGTACCTGGGAATCAATGCATCGTCCTGCTCTATCACCGCCTTTACCATCGAAAGGTACATTGCTATTTGCCACCCGATAAAAGCCCAGTTTCTGTGCACACTGTCCAGAGCCAAGAAGATAATTTTGTTTGTCTGGGTTTTCACTTTACTTTACTCCGTCATGTGGTTCTACCTGTCAGATATCAAAGAAGAAGTATATGAGAACGACGTAACCATCGTGACCTGCGGCTACAAAGTTTCAAGACAACTCTATTTGCCCATTTACTTTTTGGATTTCGGGATCTTTTTTGTTGTTCCGCTTATGCTGGCCACCATTCTGTATGGTCTCATCGCCAGAATCCTGATCATGAATCCGTTACCTTCTGATCACAAGGAAAAAAGTACAAAAGGACACAGCAACACAAGAAAGGGATGTAAAAACTCCCGCCAGACCAGCACTACCGCGGCTTCTCGGAGACAGGTGAGTTGCGGTTCTAAAAAAACAAGTGCGCTCCAATTTATTAGTAAATGGTAATACATTGGAATACACATGGGGTGAGTTAGCTTTGGGACAAAACATCCGGAGTCTGTAGCTTTTTGACACAACATCAGGAGTCTGTGTGCAACCTGGTCTCATTTCCTATTATTCTGTAAGTAAATCCAAGACACTCCATTTAGTATGATATGTTACGTTTCGCATGGTTACATAAGACAGATGGTTACTTAAGTAGGTTGGTTGGTGGGCATATAAGGTTTAGGTATATGCGAAGGTCTAGCAACCCAAAGGCTGTGAGTGCAAATCGCATCATGGACAACTTTAGCATTTTAGCTAATTAGCAACTTTGCAACTACTTAGCATGTTAGCTAACCCGTACCTGTAGGTCACAAATAAAGCTATCCCCAGTAAAATTGGAGCACAACTCATGAGCCCACCTTCTGCACTGCTCACACCTAATCCAGTCCCCACCTGTGACTGAAAACAGGGGGAGAGATGCCAATTGAAAAGCTCTCTTTTAAAAACGTAGATAGCCACCTAGCTATATGACATAAAATGCTGTCAAATAGCTAAAAGGCTACAAAGTTGCATTAACTGAAAAGCTATCAGTCACTAGTGGAAACATTTACAACTGAAATTAAGTTACGTTATCTTTTTTTATTTATTTTACCTCAGATGATCTGGTAGTAAGGTTGCTAGCTAGTACTCCTAGCAGCTTATGCTGACTAGCTAGCTGGCTAGCATTTACTGCTAGTGAAGTTGCTAGTTAGCATAAACTAGCGCTAACTGGGCTAGTCATTGTCTAAATGTGGTCCTCTGTAGCTCAGCTGGTAGAGCACGGCGCTTGTAACGCCAAGGTAGTGGGTTCGATCCCCGGGACCACCCATACACAAAAATGTATGCACGCATGACTGTAAGTCGCTTTGGATAAAAGCATCTGCTAAATGGCATATTATTATTATTATTATTATTAAATGACAGGTAAGAACACATTCACAACCATAAAGGGGTAACTATTTTGGTGACATCTTGTGGTCTTTATGTGAATTACAGGGGGATGGTTACCCCCTACCACCCTACGTTATGCAAATTCATAACAGATAATATGAATTGTAATTCGTAACATATCTTACAAAATGGGTGATTGTAACATATAATACAAATTCTAATTCGTAACATATCATATGGAATGTGTGATGGACAACCACAAATTAATACATACCACACGAAACGTAACATATCATTCTAAATGGAGTGTGTCCGATTTACGTACAGAATAATACGAAATGCTTTGAGACCAGATGTGGACTCTCTCAGTAGGCCTACTCCCATGTTGTGTCCCAATGCTAGGGGTCAGTTTGATGTTAACATCAAATCCATTTTTATTTTTTATAAACAACAGGTGTAGACTAACAGTGAAATGCTTAATTCCCAACAATGCAGAGAGGAAAAATAGAGAAATCATAGAAAAATAATAACACGAGGAATAAATACACAATGAGTAACGATAACTTGACTATATACACGGGGTACCAGTACCGAATCGATGTGCAGGTGTTTGAGGTACAGTAGATACAGTAGATACAGTATGTATTGTACATATAGGTAGAGATAAAGTGACTAATATTATAATCATTTGAAATAATGATCAGTTGTTATAGGCTAACTAATCCAAAACTAATGTTACATGTTTATTACAAGTTTAAAGTGACAGTTCACTTCAAAATCAAAGTGTTTCAGATGATTGTATAGCCCAATCTGTTGTGTAGATCCAATATACTTCAATTCCAAATGAATGGGAAATATAGGCACCATCTGTCATTAAATGGAAACTTGAGGCTTAATCAGTATAGCTGGATATACACAACAGATGGCATTTCTGTCTCACTCTGTAATTATTGTATTGCTGAGAATTTTGCAGACTGCAGTATAAGGGAAATAAACCCAGTAGCGTTGTTTGATTGAATAGTGGCCCATAATCACCTTCTCTTCCATGTCCTAGGTGACCAAGATGCTGGCTGTGGTGGTAATACTGTTCGCTGTGCTGTGGATGCCCTACCGCACCCTGGTGGTGGTCAACTCCTTCCTGGAGCAGGCCTACCTGGACACCTGGTTTATCCTGTTCTGTCGGAGCTGTGTCTACCTCAACAGCGCAATCAACCCCATCATCTACAACGCTATGTCGCAGAAGTTCCGTGCCGCCTTCCACAAGCTCTGCCTCTGCGGGCGGAAAGGCTCTGAGAAGCCCACCGGCGGCACGTACAGCGTGGCGCTCACCTACAGCGCGGTCAAGGACACGTCTATGGTGGAGACTACGGACCAATTCACCACAGAGCTGGACGAGATCACGGTCACCGGTGAGTTACTGCCTGACAAGAAGATGGTGTTTCAGGACACCTGTGTGTACGGCAAGGTAACTTTCAGCAATGACTGATGTTGTAATGTCCAGGTTCAGGGTTCAGTCACTGAAGAGGACAGCTCCTCTAAGCGTTGAGAGACAGCTTTGGAGATGCTGAAGTTTTTGGTGTGAACAGACTACAGTTTGGAGCCATTGGTGTGTCTGGTCTGTCAAGCGTGAAAACAGTGTCCTGGGTGAAGCTAACAAGACCTTTTCGTCTCCAAGAGGCTGTCCCTGCCTGAGATGTGAATACATTATTACTGTACATTTGTTTGCTGCTATTGATGCTATTGAGTCATCCTCGCAAATATGCCCTTTGTCATTTATGATGACTTTGGACAATGTGAATACAGACAGTAAGACCGTAATCTTCTTGACCAGGGTTAGGTACTAGAGCCTGTAATAGAATGAGTTATTTGTATTCATGTATAATCCTACTATAAATTGGCTGCTCTATCTGGAATATTCTGCATGAATCAGAAAATATGATGGTTTATGAATTGCCATCAACTGTCCTGTGTCCTATGCACCCATTTTCAGTTATACTGAAGGGGACTATAAGGACACGTCTCAACCTTCAGTGAAAGGTTGTAAGGCCCCATGTACAATGTGAAGGCTATGTGGTGACATGTTGTTGTGCCATCCCACTGGGCACACCATGTCATTTCAACGTGGAAATGTGGGTAATTTTTGGTTGAGACGTTGACCAATGAGATTTCAACCTTAATTCACCCACTCAAAAAGACAGCCAGAAGTTTGTGGAATTCCCAATGCGTTATCACTATGCTTTCAACCATTTAAAAGCACAACCAAATTCCAATGGGAAAACAATGTCAGATATTTTTTATTTATACATCAACTTTGTGTTTCACTGTGCTTCATCTAATAGCACAACCAAATGACTTGGATTGTAGTTGAGATTACATTAAAAGTACATAGTGCAAGTGATCAATGCTGTTCGTGATTCTGCAATATTTATATTGTGAAGATCTCCACAGACCTGCGACCTTTGCATGCTATCTTGAACATGCACACTTTTTATGATTACATAATAAGACTTTTATAGTTGCAGTAAACTCAAAATGTGACCATGGATGAGTTGCTAATTTTAAGGTTGAATAAAAATTTTTACATTAGTTTGTAAGATAAACTTTAGGCTATTTACTGTATTACAAAAGTCAAAAGTCATATCGAGAATCCAACATATTTTGTTAACTTGTCAACAAGTTAATAGGCTATTTACTGTATTGCAAACATGGTATTAAATTGTTTTTGGTTGTCAACGCAACCAAATACATGTATCAACATTTTAAGGAGATGTTTTGTGCCACTGACATAGTCTGAATTTAACTAAGTTAAAGAATAGGACTAAATCAAATCAAACTTTAAATGCACTTTAACTAAAGTTTTGATTCGATTTAGTCCTATTCTTTAACTTAGATTTTTGGTTGAAATGGAGACGTGAATCCAACATATTCATTATTAACGTGAAGATTACATTTGGCATCAACCAAAGCTTGAAACCCTAGGCCTATATGTTTTGTAAATTTTTTTGTTGAACCCTGGGTTGAATTGAAACAATAGCTGTTAATGACTTCGCAAATGCTATACTGTATAGGCTTAAGTAGTATCATTGATGTTATGACTTATAAAGTAGGGTTACATTTAATTTGCTCTGTTAAACCTACCCTTTGGAATGGCTTTGATAGCAACAGTGACTATTTAGTTATTAAGAGATCTCTCAATAATCAGTCTCACAATAGCACATTGGTAGTAGTCAGTGACAAATATCTAAGCTAAGCTGGGCTGGGCTTGGTTAAAACTCTGGATGGGAGAACAAATGGATGGCTGTAGATAGATCGAATCTCCAGTAGGAGGTGCTACCCAGACCCCAAAAAAATCTGATAGTGGATATAACGTTGAAGATCTGATGTTGTTTTCAAAGGTACAAATTCAACATATTTTATACAAGGTTTGTCTGTTGAAAATTGGTCACTAAATTTCATCCTCAGAACAACAGTGATGACTTCCAATGTATTTTCCACATAGATTCCACGTCACAATACATTGACAAATTACATTGAAACAATGTTGATTCAACCAGTTTGTGCCCAGTGGGATGTGTACTCAGACACTCATCTTCAGATACACATTGTGAGCTGTCCCGGTTTGACTCAAGGTGGACATTTTCCACTGAATGAGACCTCACTGGACTGAGAGGCAAGAAGGGTTAGCAACTAGATGTGCTGAGGCCACAAGACTATGACTTGCTCTCGACTGTCCTGTGTCATATCCATTTTCACTCACACTGAAGTGGACTATCAAGAGACCCAAGCTTGACCTTGGGTCAGTAATTGTAAGGCCCCATGTACAGTACAATGTGAAGGCTATGTGGTGACACATTATTGTGCTGTGTTTGCACTTCAGACACAAGTCCCAAGAGCAGACACAAATTTCAAGTGTGTGCTCTTGGGACACAGACAATTTGAGCTGCCCTGGTGTGACTCAAAGTTCACATTTTCCACTCTTAATGAGACCTCACTGGCAGGGTCAGACTGAGTGGCATGGTCAGAGACAAGCCTCTCTCTCTCGCTCTTTCTCAAACAAGGTATACAGATCTAGGATGTGACTCATACCATGTATTATTCTGTAAACAGTCAACATCAGTTGACTTATGAGTCTAAGGCTGATGATGTCCTTTGTGCAGGCCTATTTACAAAATGTATATTTTTCTTTATTTTATTATATTATGGACCATATGGTTGTGCAATGTGAAAAATCTGTAGGCTATTTGATATAGAGAGTAAAATGTGAACATCGAAACTTGAGTCCATTTTGGATGATGAGTGTGTATAAATGATTTTGATAAACTTACTGTATATATTGTGGTATATTAGGACTTTTCTGCCTCTAGGATCAGGTCCCGCTGTACATTTAATCTTAGCTATTCATTGGGATCTGAAAGGCAAAACTGATCCTACATCAGCACTCCTGCTCTGAGACACTTGATACATACTCCCCCTGGATCCTGGATCTGATGAATCTCTGAGTGCGCCCGGCTGCACAAAGGCAACATAATTTGGTAGGGTGCCATAACTGCCATAACATAAATCTCTATCATATTTCTTAGCCAACTGTACACTGCCACGAGTTCAATTGTTATTTGAATGTAGAGTGATCAATAGATTTTACCTTACATGAATGTACAAATGTGTCACCTTGATTATTAATGAAATCATGCATCACTGTGTGGGAACTATCTAAATATATTTGGAAACTATTGGTAAAGTAATCGTTCTTGTAATTTATTTCAAATCCTGTTTGGTTGAAGTGAAGATCGCTGTATGTGGCTTAATGTACTATTTTTCTGTGAATTATCAGCTACATATACAGTAAAAGTACTTTGTTTTTCAAATCTAAAATAGATATCAATATTTAGATATCAAAAAGTTAAATAGATAAATATATATAATTAGTTATATTGTGCAGTAACATATGGTGGACGTCTTTCCTTTTAAATGAATATGATTGCATTTGTCGGTTGTTTTGAATAATGTTTTGTTGAACATCTACAATAATGATTAAAATGAATAAACATTTGACTGGGGTAATTTGACCAGAGAATGAAGATTCTGTATATAACATATTGTGAACATACTGTAACTGCTGATGTAAAAAGGGCTTTATAAAATATATTCATTGTGTACTTTAAACGTATTAGACTAGACAGCTCACTAGCATACCCTTTTCAGTTATGGAAATCATGTGGCATTTAGTATGTAAATGTCCCTACTGTTCTGTCTGAATATGGCATACATTAAAGCAGGGATTATCAACTAGATTCAGCCGCGGGCCGATTTTCTTTTTTGGAGCGGATGGTCGGGAGAACATAATTACAAATAATTACAAATAATTAGTAAACTGTAAAAAGCCCAAACAGATATGTTTGACTAAAACATAATAATTTCAAACCTTGCTTACATTTGTATACGATCACGTGTTCTCTATTATGCGTGGGAATACTTAAATTAAAATCACTTGGAGCTGATTTCCTGGTTCCCAACGGGGGGTATGAAAAATAAAAAATAATGTATGCACTGGATAAGAGCGTCTGCTAAATGACTAAAATGTAAATGTAAACACTGAAACATGCATGAGAGCATCAGCTGTTCTGGACGACTGTGTGATCACGCTCTCCGTAGCCAATGTGAGTAAGACCTTTAAACAGGTCATTACCAGGATGTGTACTCCGAGCATGCTCTGACCAACTGGCAAGTGTCTTCACTGACATTTTCAACCTCTCCCTGTCTGTAATACCAACATGTTTCAAGCAGACCACCATAGTCCCTGTGCCCAAGAACACTAAGGTAACCTGCCTAAAAGACTACCGACCCGTAGCACTCATGTCTGTAGCCATGACTTGCTTTGAAAGGCTGGTCATGCCTCACATCAACACCATTATCCCAGAAACCCTAGACCCAATCCAATTTGCATAACGCCCCAACAGATCCACAGATGATGCAATCTCTATTGCGCTCCACACAGCCCTTTCACACCTGGACAAAAGGAAAACCTATGTGAGAATGATGTTCATTAGACTACAGCTCAGCGTTCAACACCATAGTGCCCTCAAAGCTCATCACTAAGCTAAGGACCCTGGGACTAAACACCTCCCTCTGCAACTGGATCCTGGACTTCCTGACAGGCCGCCCCCTGGTGGTAAGGGTACTTAACAACACATCCGCCACGCTGATCCTCAACACGGGGGCCCCTCTGGGGTGCGTGCTCAGTCCCCTCCTGTACTCCCTGTTCACTCATGACTGCATGGCCAGGCACGACTCCAACACCATCATTAAGTTGGCCGATGACACAACAGTAGTAGGCCAGAGACCAAACTCTCCCTCAACGTGATCAAGACAAAGGAGATGATTGTGGACTACAGGAAAAAGAAGAGGACCGAGCAAGCCCCCATTCTCATCGACGTGGCTGTAGTGGAGCAGGTTGAGAGCTTCAAG